AAATTCACAAAATGCAGGCCCAGAAAGGCACAAAGAGAGACAGAATGGGAAGAAGGAAGGAAGGAAAGAAAGAGTCCCAGTCTGCCTCAGGTGGGACTGCAGCTCCTAGGGGAAGGCAAGAGAGAGTTAGGGCCGAGAAGGAGAAAAGTGGGCTGTCCCCGTGGGTGGAGCAGGCTAGAGGCCCTTCAGGGTGCAGGAGTCAGAGAAGCACCTTCTCACATAGGTGCTTGTGTGGAGGGCCCAGGAGGTCCGGGAGAAGCAGAAGAACTGGACTGTAGAATTCAGAATCAACTTCACAAGCAAATGACTGGCGTGCATCTTTAGGAGCGCTAGGTATTTAAGAATGTAGGGGAGAGCAGCTGTGCATGCCAGCTGCTCCTATGCACCCTCCTCTCCTCACAGTTAGCTGCGGCTCCAGCTTTGCAACGAATTTGCAGGTCTGTCAGCCTTAGCGTAAAAGACCAGACATGTACAATGTCAGGAAAACCAGACAAAAACGAACAGGGCTTGGGAGTGGAGAAAAGGGAAATAAGGAGAGGTAGAGAATTTCCATTTCCCTAATTGCTGGCATTAGCTGTAGGGTTCCCTAATAACTCTGGGGTGGTGTTGTGCCTCTGGGCAGCCATTTTGATTTTTATTGATTGTCCAAGGGGTTTTGAGGTCTCAACTACAAAGGCAGATAAGCTCAGCAGCCCTCAAGTTGGAGTTTCTCCAGGTTGCATCCCAAAGAGAAGCCAGGAGGCGTGGATAACACAGTTCTCCCATGTGAGGTAGAGGGGATGTTCCAAGGCCTGAAGTCCAAGGCAACCCAAGGACTAAGGGAGACTGAATGAGGAGGACACATGCTGCTTGCTCATTGGATTGTCAACACTGGACGGAGTCAGAGCTAACAGACTGAGGAGACATGGTGCTTGGTATCGGAGCTTTAGAACAAAGCCAAAAGTAAAAAAAAAAGTTTCATTGGCATAGCCAGAACCTGGAAGCAACCTAGATGCCCCTCAACTGAAGAGTGGATAGGGAAAACGTGGTACATTTACACCATGGAGTACTACTCAGTGGAAGAAAACAATGGAATCCTGAAATTTGCAGGCAAATGGATGGAACTAGAAGAAACCATACTGAGTGAGGTAACCCAGTCACAAAATGAGAAACATGGTATGTGCTCACTCATATATGGATTTTAGGCATGGATCAGGGGAGTGCCAGCATACAATCCCACTGCCAGAGAGTCTAGGAAACAGAATCTTCACCCAGCGACTGATGAAAGCAGAGGCAGATACCCACAGCTAAACACTGAACTAAACTCCTGGAATTCAGTGTCAGAAAGAGAAAACTGATGGGCAAAGGAGTTAAGATTCGGCTGGTTTAACCCACAGAAACAGTTGATCTGAACAAGGGGGAGCTCTTGGACTCCAGATTGATGGCTGTGTGGAAAGCATGGGACTGACCCAGACCCCCTGAATATAGGTGTCAGTGAGGAGGCCTAGGTAATCTATGGGGCCATGGGTAGTACTTATCCCTGGCATACAAATAGACTTTAAGTGCTCATGCCACAATATGGGAAGCTTTCTCAGCCAGGACTCTTGGGGGAGGGCCTAGGCCCTGCCCTGGATGAAATGACAGTCACTGGAGATTCACCGTGGAGGGCCTTACCCTCCCTGGGGATTGGAGTGGAGATTGGGTGGGGGACAGGGGAAGGTAGGGGAGAAGGAAAGGGAGAGGGAGTTGGGATTGACATGTGAAACAAGATTATTCCTAACCTAAATAAAACAATTATTATTATTAAAAAAAGAGTTGACCTTTGGGAAATGGTACTAAACATCTTTTTAACAAAAAAAGAAAAAAGAAAGAAAAAGAAAATGCTCAGAAATGAAGGCTTACCCAACAGAATTGGTCAGAGGTTGGGTCGTCAAAGAGAGCCAATCATAGCCTTAAAGCCTGTGGTTGGGGGTACCTCCACATCCAAGAATACCAGATGGAGAATGGATACTCAGTGGTCTCTCCCTTGGATTCAGGCAAGCATTTATGCTGATCAGAGGGAAAATTTAACAGTGGCTGCTGTTGGAAGGGACGCCAGTGATCAGTGGGCCAGAGGTGAATTTGTTGCAGATGCACTGGAGATAAGGGATAGGATCCCCGTGTGGCTTAGACTGCCAGTGGATAGGGGTGGGAGGGGAGTGCACAGGCATTGAGGTTATCCTGCTGAGTCACAGGCGGAAATGTCAGGGTTTATGTGGCAGAGTACCTTGGTGAATCAGAGCCAAGGAATTCTATGGAGATCACTCCATGCAAGAGACTCCATGCAAGAGACTTCATGCAAGAGATTTTTTTTGGGGGGAGGGGGAGCTGTAAAAGGCTATCTTGGAGTAGGGACAAGAGAGAGCAGAGGCAGATTCAGAGAGACAGAGAGAGACCGAGGGCAAGAGAGAACTGGGGAGACCAAGAGAGGTGGCGAGGACCTTTTAAAGGGTATAGTGTTTGGTGATGACATCACTGAATCACCAAATGCAGGATGGAGAACAGCTTGGCTTCTGACAGAAGAGCTCAAAGAGGTGTGCCCCATGGCATCTGCAACAGGAGGTAGAGTCCAGTGAATGCCAGTGCTCTGCTGACTTCCTTCTTTTCATTCAGCCTGGGACCCCAGCCCACAGAATGATACCCCCTCACATATTTAGAAGGCTCTTCCCATGTCAACCTGCTCTGGGAATTCCCACACTGAGGTGCCCAGAGGTTTCCCTTTTGCTGGTGATTCCAGGTCCTGCCCAGTTTGCAATGTTAGCAGTCAAATATCAGTGATACATATATTGAAGTGTCTTGTTGGAGTTATTGGGGGCAGAGCCCCTGCTTTGGCAGCCATAAGAAGCCAAGGTCAGCTATTGATCTTAAAAGAGTCAATTAAAAAGCTAAATTAGGGATGGGATGGTCTAGCAAATAAAAGCAGAGGCACAAGGCTGATCCCAAGACCCACACAGAGAGAGAAAAACAAAAGGAAGTCAGATGTGGTGGTGGTGGTTCGACCTAGCATTTGCAGTCCCGGCACTCCTGCTGTGAGATGGGTGATTGAGGACAGACAGGCCTGTGGACCTAGGATGGGCAGCACCCTCCTCCTCCTCCTCCTCCTCCTCCTCCTCCTCCTCCTCCTCCTCCCCCCTCCTTTGTTCTTGCTTGTCTGTCCCTTGTTTTCTGAGTCTCTCATCTGCTGTCCTTTCCTGCTGTTTTCTCCCCCTCCCCTCCCCCTCCCCTTCCCTGTCTCTTCACCTCCCCCTCCCCTTCCCTGCCTCTTCACCTCCCCCTCCCCTCCCTGCCTCTTCACCTCCCCCTCCCCTCCCTGTCTCTTCACCTCCCCCTCCCCTTCCCTGTCTCTTCACCCCCCCCTTTCTTCTTCTTTGTGTTTAAAGTCTGCCTTGGTAAGGTCATTTAACATTAGGATTACAGAGCTCACTGCGTTTCCAGTCACACTGCTATGTTAGTACCATCTTCTTCCTCTGTGATCACCTTGCAAAAGGGTGGTCCCAGGTTGGAAGGCGTTGCAAAGGATTAGAGAATGTATTTCCAATCAGAAGATTTCTAAGAGGAAGGAGATCATGGTTTTTCAGGTGTGAGTAGGGGGTGAGTCCTCTAACATGCAAAGCTAAGACCAACAGTGTCTTGGTTACTTTCTCATTGCTGTCATAAAATACTCTGGAAAAAAACCCCTCAGGGAGAATTGGTGTATTTTGTCTTACAATGCCAGGTTATAGTTCTTCATTATGAGAAAGTCACCTTGCCAAGATCTGTTGAGTCCACAGCATCCGTACTCAGGAATCAGAGAGCAATGAGTCAGGGCACCCACACGAGTGCTCACTTCACTTTCTCTTCTCATATCCATCCCAAGATTCCTACACAGGGAATGGCCCCACTCACAGTGGGTGGGGCTTGCAACCACCACCCCACCCCTGCAGATATGTCCAAACGTCCATCTTCCAGGTGTTTCAAATTTCTGTGAAGCTAATTGTTAACACTAATTATCATAAATAGCATAGCTGTCTCTGTCACAAGTGTATCTCTGTCCCAAACAGCACATTTAGTCAGTTTCTCTCTCCTGAGTGTACTTGCACAGAGTACAAGTGCTTTGAAAGCAAACTCTGAGCCCAATCAATCTTTGTTTAAAATACACAGAAAGCAAAGTGTGCTTACCAATTGATTAATATCAGTTTGATTGATCAATTCATCTCATCAACAAATGATGACTAGAGTAAAAAATAATGTAGATTATTTTTTATAACTCTGTACCTGTGTTACTATCTCCTGGCATTTATTTAAATACTTTTATGTTTGTATGCGGTTCAAAAATAATTCAAAATAATTTAACTGAATTCTTTTTTCTGCACATTTTACAATTAGATCTTACTGGTCTATAGAGCAAAAAATATCCACTTACTTTTATAATAACGCCTTACTATCCTTTGCACAAAGATGTCTATAGATGGATCTCAAGAGAGCTAGCATGGCTGGGACATACCATGGTGACTGACAAGCTCCAGGCTCAGTGAGAGATGCTGTCTCAAAGACTAAGGTAGAGAGTGATAGAGAAAGGCTTGTCTTGGGGTTCTATGACAGTGGTTATCACTTTGTCCTCTGAAAGTTGATGTCACCATCAACCCCTGACCTCCACATCCATGGACACAGGCACACCTACACTACACATACACACATATGCCCCAAATATTTTTAACAAAATAATACAAGCAGAGCCTGATGTGAGCATTACTAAATATGAAATATTGTTCAAATACTGTTCACATTTATCTCAGGAATAGTTTCTTGTCATGTTCCTTCTCTTTCCCGTTCTAGAGAACTGCATTGTTAGCATGGGTAAAGCGAGGTAGGTGGATTGATAAACAGAAAGATAGACTGATAATTGTATCTTTGATACTTAACTCTTGATTATAATATGAAAAGGAATAACCTTCATTTAGGTAGCTCACAAATAGTTCACTTTGATTGTTTATGTTTTGCAGGGAAGAAAACTTTCAAAAGGAGGAAAATCTACTGCCAAATAACACAACACCTCCTGCAGAACCACACCATGTGGAAGAAAGTGATTGAAGAGGAACAGTGCTTAGCAGACATAGAGAACCAGTCCCTGGACCAGGCTCCTGTGCCCCACTCCTCAGAGCAGATCCAGGCCATCAAAGAGGAAGAGGAAGACAAGGGGAAGCCAAGAGTAGAGGAGACCCTGGCTCCACAGCCAGACCTGTGACCATGGGGAGAGTGAGCTGTGTTTGCAGACAGAATGACTTGTCCCAGACACTTTCCAAGCCAGCACAACACTTAGACACAACACTGTAGAACACCAGAAGATGGGCAAATGGCTAAAGCATTTGGGGAAATTCTTCACATTTTGTGTGTTTACTTTTACAGTAAGGGACAGCGCTGAAGACTCCGGCTCAAAGAAGCTTTCTTTCACTTTGTGGCACCAGCGTCTACGGATCGTTTATAAGGAAGAAGTATATGTGTGTGTACAAATTCCCACATAGGCTCATGTAAGACTTATAGTCACGTGTAACACATGCACACTGATAGCCAGGATGCCTGACTCCACAAGGTAGTAACAATCATATTAAGATATATAGAGGTCACTGTGACATAAAATCACAAAGGACAAGAAGTCACTAGGAAATGTGCAGCTTAGCAAGGAAACAAATGTAGGCTTGAGAGTGACCAGCTTTTGTTTTCCCTGCTGAGGGATGAACGTTATCGAGCATTGTTGGAATTCCAATGCATCCTGCCAATGTGTGTGTGTGTGTGTGTGTGTGTGTGTGTGTGTGTGTGTGTGTGTGTGTATGTGTGTGTGTGTGCGTGTGCATGAGAGAGAAGAGAGATATGTTTGTATACATGTGTGTGTAGGGAAAATGTTTGTGATTTTAGTTGTTCATAGAATAACTAGCTGTAGCAGGTGACAAAGGACATGTGAGCACACAGAAGGAAGTTCTTTCTGGAGTGTCTTTGAATGGCAGCCCTCCTCCATTTAGCTTCCAGAAAGGTTCCTTTCCAGAGGGTGGGCTTTGTGTGGGCCACACGATTGGTACCACTGCTACTTGCCACTTGGAGGCGCTCCACCACCAGCCTCACACTCACAAGACTGAGGCTTTCTGGTCTACCTGCCTAGTGAATGTATAAGGGGTGTATGTGAGTACACATGTCACTCACCTATGATCAAATAGCCATGGGAGGGGATGCTGTTCTTTAGTGGTAGATGCCCAAGGGCAGCTGGCATCAGCTCTTCGTCAGGTGAGAGTTCTAAAAGGGTGCTGGGAAAGGCCCAGGAGATTACCTTTAGTGATGATGCCCTGTGTCTTCTCAATTTGCTGCAAGATGTGTTATAGTATAAAAGAAAGTCAAGAAACTCACCATGGGTTTTATAACAAGAGATGAAGGTAAAATGTCAGTTTATGGTTTGGAAGTTGGCCTGGGGAAAGCTGACCCTTGGCACCTGTTGAAGATGGTTTGCTCTGACGTTACCAGTTGTGGTCTTCCATACACTGTGTGATGGCACAGCATGACTTTGCAGCCTGGTCTGTGGTCATGCTCCTTTTTGAAGTGAAGGTTATAGGGGGGTTGAGTATTGTTTGTGGCTAAGCCATTGAAAGCCGTTTGAGTTGCTTTGTTTTGTTTTCTACACTTGTTTATGCTGTGAGCCAAACCTCTATTTAAAAAGTTGATACTCACTTTCAATATTTTATTGGATATTATTACGTATGTCATGACTAGTTATCGTGATGTAAATATAAAGAATTTTTTTGTTTCTGTATGTAGATAGTAAACTTTTTTTTAAGAAAAAAAGGGGGAAAAGGGAAACATTTTATAGTTATATTTTAATCGCCATTTTATACATTGTAGCTATGTCCAAGCCCACGAGAGCGGGTGAGGGTTCATTGTGGAGTCTGAGGGCCTCCTGCCATCAACCTACTCTAGTTTGAGTCATGATCTGATACAGTTGTTTTGCTGTTAAATTAAGGCATTGCAGAGACAGCAGCTTTGGATAACTGACTTGATTGGAGGTCTTCCCTTTCCTGATGAAAGCCTTTCCCAACCCAATTTTGACATTTCTCGCTGGACTCTGTTGCTTGTAGCTCCCAGTTACGTTCTGCATTCACAGATTTCTGGTTATCTTAGCCTCCAAGACCCGTGTGTTGATTTCTGCCCTTTCACATCCTTGATTGTTTACGATAAAAACCCCTTTGTCTCCCATACGTGGGTAGTATACCCTTCCCTTCAAAAGCATGATTTAATAGTAATTCACAGCATTTTTTCTCCAAAACAGACAAAGATGAAATCAAATATTTCAAGCAGATTTTTCTATTGAATAGGACTTAAGGCTTCATCCAAACAATTAGAATATGTCCCAGTGTATTTCTGAGTTAACACCAGGTCTTCAGCATTTAGCAGGTCTCGAATCATTTCTTCTTTCTTCATGGTGTCTGTGTGTCTCTGTAAATCTACTTAGAAGCAAGAACCCCTCTTTGGTGAAGGTACCCTTCCCCTACAATAAAAAAAAGATAGATAAAGCACTTATACTCATAGCTTTCACATCTACTCAGTTCTCATCCCCATCTCCAAATGATATATGCCTATTAAATGCATATAAATAGTAAAACAAGCTAGGTCTGAGTGAGTGGATTGGTAAATTCATTGTGAATATGTATGCAGTTTGAATAAAGCCATAGAATCTGAGTAGGAGCCAGGGTGGTTACATAATGGAGGGGTGGGGGTCCTCAGAAAACTGCCTAGTTTTCCTTGTTTTAAGGTACATGAAGTAACGGGTTAATGACCAAAGCAATCTGAACCTATTTGTTCCAGAATTATACTCATTCATCCAGGCAGATTAATTTTTTTTTCTCTTAGCAAACAAGTTGTCATTCTACTCAAACCGAAAGGCAACAAACTGAACAGGGTGGCAACCGCCAAGCGTGTGACCTAAAGAATCCCTGAGAAATCTCAAAGGCTATCAAACAACATCTAGAGTGTTTACAATGAACGATGTTGTCCAACTTCTTGGTGACAGCAATATACTGTGTCCACCTCCAACTTCAGAATTAACTTCCTGTGGTGCCAATGTGTTCCATGAGATTTACTACAGATTTATATGAACCTATACAGGTGCCATTTGATAAACTCAGGTCTCCCAGTGGAGGGATTTCTACCCACTTAGGGAAAGGATAGTTTCATAGACAGCCATAACACATCAATGGTAGGAGAGATTGGAACCAGCTGCTCTCTGTGGAGTAAAAGCTGAAGCGTCTTCTGCATGTTATCCATGCCATTCCCAGCATACTAATTGAATATCTTCATCGTGATCAATGCCAGTTGGCCTTTTGAATACTATTTCCTTAGTCGAAATGCCACTTTTACTGTTTTACTTATCTGTAAGAAAAAAAATGTTCTTATTTATGTAAGACCTGGTTTTGTTATCAGTAGCAGATGAACTCAGTAGTTATGCATTTTCTCTAGTTGTCCTCATCTGGCATTGAGAGAATGGTCTCCTGTGTGAGAAAGTATCTGCTTCTTACCCTCACCATACCCTTTTCTGTCCTGTTTGGGTTTAATCCAGAACAAACATTAGCCATTGCGGTCCTAGTAGTTCTAAGAAGAACTGAATACCCTGCCGACTGTTTAGTAGATGTATATATTTGCAGTTTCCCTGTGTCCTATGCCTGTCTTTCCCAGAGAACTTTCTTGAAGGTAAAAAGCTGTGCAAAAGGCATGAGACTCAGGCCTATTCTTTGTTTAAATGATGGAAAAGTATAAATTATTTTCTAAATAATAAAAATATGAAAATTATCATTGTAAATAAAGTCTAAAGCTTGAAATAACTTCTTTATAAAAGTGAAGTATCTGTGTGGTGAACAACTCCTGGACAACGGGAAATTAATAATGCAGAAGTCCTGTCTATTCTGCTTGGGGCATGCTCTTGGTGCAGGGACCTCCACTGTCCTCCCCTAGGGTAACTCTAAGAAGCATAGTGGTAACCATGAGGTGGGGCTTGTTAGCCTTCCCTCCTTCCTAATCCTGATTCCTATTAGTTTCCTGTTTTGATTTTTGTGCAATTAACAATTAAAATGCCTTTTCAATTATCCAAAGGCTACAGTAAGAGAGTTCTGTGATGTTCCACAAACTAAATCAAGACTTTTCCTGACTCATGATGTCCTAATATGTGTCGGGAGATAAAAATAACAAAGATTTGCATGTCAGTAGTTTAGCCCCAGATAACTAAATGCCACAGTAACCATGTGCTTTGAAACTGAAGTCATTTTCTTGCCACCTGAGCAATGAAATACTACATGATCCTTGTTCTAAGTCATTCATTTCTTTCACAAATTTGTAAATCGAAACTATGAATTTGCTGATATTGCTGCATTTTAAAGTTTATCCAAGCAAATTCAAAATGAGGCTAGAGGAAAACAATTCACCATTTAAACAGGAGAGATGTCAGAATTTACATTATTCTCAGAATGTCTAATCAAGATGAAATCCATCAGTTTGTGGTCCTATATCCATATTATGTCAATTGGTCCTCCAGCAAATGCCCAAGTACTGAAAATTAAATTAGAAGTGAATTAAGTTATTATCACTGAGTAAACTCAACCATACACTTTGGTCTGGGCAGTTTGAACTGAGCTTTTCATGAGTATTTGTATGTGTCACACGAAGGAACCATGATTAGAGAATAAGGACACACTAGTATATACTATGCAGCATGGATACCAGTAATCTGTGTCACCACCTTATATACATTGCACGTATTGAAATGATGTTAATTTTTGCATTACTTAATACTGTTTTTTTTTCCTTACCTAAGAATTTGTCTTTATATTCACGCTGGTAGATTATGCTAAAACCTGGTTAGATGTCATGACTAAGATATCTGACCTTCTATGCATGAATATTTTAAATATGTCTACAGACCAGATGAAAAGATGAAGTTGGTGGAACCCAGCCTGCTTCCTTAGAGGATAACATTGACCCTCAAGCTTTTTAATGTAGAAAAGACCATCAGTATGCAGACGGTGTACTCTTGAGACGGGTTGACGTCTCCACATTGATAGCATCATGTGTTGGCATCTTAGGTGTATGCCTGCCAAGTGACATGGCCCACAGGAGAAGGACAGCCTTCTCTTAGAGGTCAGTGTTCAGTGTGGCCGTGTTCAGCCTAGACTCCTTGCTCTGCATTAAGAAGTGGGTCTCTCTAATCATGAAAACTGGCAAAAAAAAATAATGTTAAACCTTTGTGTGTGCTGATACTGACAGAAATACTTAAAACGATTTGCTTTCTTGAATCACCACTCTTGTATGTCTTTTTTTTAATTAGATTAAAAGGAAGCCCATAAACCACTGCTTCTTGTTACCAAAATTCTCAGTTAGACATAACCAAGACTAAGAAAACTTGCAGGGTTGGATGCTTTCCTAATGCTCTCGAGGGGAAATGCTTTACAGAGGGATCAATAAATGTTTAAACACAGTCCTTAACCCCAGTTACAGGTGATCTGCCACCCTCTGCTGGCCTCCTTGGGCACTGCCTATACATGGTGCACAGACATGCAGGCAAAAACACCCACCTACATAAGATACACTTGTACAAAAACTACCAAAGAATCTAAGTGCCCAAGTTACAATCAAACTTCCTCCCAGTTACCCCAGTGCACATGAAGACATCACCCAGTAATTTATCACTGTACGTTAAAGAATGATAAATGGCCTGCTGCTGTAGATCATTCTTATCCAAATTCTAATAAAGTTAAAAGTCAAATTATTCAACACTAAGGAAATCAAACGTTATTCATTTTAGCTTTCACAGATGAAGGGCTGACCTTGTGTTAACAACCCTGCAGTATTCACCTGTCATTTTAAACCAAGTGGCAGGTTAATAGATGGATTCCTTTATAGAAAAGTAACAGGAACCTACTTTATAAAGCTCTCACGCTTTAATGTTACAGTTTTACCAGGGCTACTTCTTTCAGTTGAGACAAACTATTGCAGGAAGTTCTCCCCTCTTAACAACAGGAAAAAAAAGTCTGGATCAAAGGAGAAAATGAGCAGTTTCTCACCAATTTTACTTTTCTGAGTCAATATTAGCAAGGAAAGTATAATCAGAAATGCTCTTCAGTTGGGACAGAGGAAGGAATGTTTTCAGTGCCAGGGTCCAAGTCACCCTTCACCCCATTTCTGTAATAAAACCCATGGTACAAAGAAGCAGATGACATAAGAATTTAAAACCCTCAATACACAGCCTTCTCCCAAGTCAAGTTAGTTCTTTGCTCTGGAGTGAAATGCCCTTGAAAGGCCATGGTACCTCCCTGACTTTATTTACCAGGACAAGCACTTCTGCCCATTGCTGAGTGTGAATCATTGGTGATCAGACCCTCTGCTGCTGCAGAGAAGGGACTTTGTCCCTGGTAATTGCATTCCCTTTATATAGCAAAATATTCAGATGTTAATGTGAAATCAACAATAACACTGTCTTGTTTGTATATATAACTTGCTGGTGAATAAGGGTCCTATTATCTTCCTTTTAAAAATTTCGACGGGTTTTTTTTTCTAGTTCAGCAAAACCTCCATTATATCAGATATTTCACTCTAGCTGTTGTTGTCATTTAAAAATAGCCCTCACATATCTACATATTACTTGTTAATGGAGGGGGTTCAATAACTTTTAATATATGTTTATTCATTAATCACTAATTTTGAGTACTGTGTAAAATATTTGCATGAGATTTCGGCATACTTTATTGGCTTGGTGTTTGCGTTTTTGAGTGTCTGGTGACTGCATGTATGATCACAGCAGGGCACACAGCATATTTTTTATACACCAGTGATGTCCATCTGTTTAGCCAGCAAGCACTGGAAATATCTCTGAATACACACAGCCCCTTAGACTCCTTCCTGGAGATTTTCATCCAGCTAATCCCAATATGCCGATTGGTGCTTTTACACATATTATGAGCTCTGTTTGCAAAATCATGGTAGAAAAGATTCTCTTTAACCGTCTGTAATGATGTTAGAAACTTTAATCTGAATCCAGTGGGTTTGGTTTGAGTAGACATTTCTTCTTGTAGAAAGTGCATTCTGACCCCTGATTGAGTGGTTGATTTGATCTGTCGTTGTTGCTCTGTGAAAAGAAAAAGAAAAAAAAAGCATTGAGTAGTTCTCTATAGCAGATTCAAAGTACTCGACCCTGAGTAATAATATTTTCAACCCAGAGAGGTTTAAGTGTGGTTTAATTTGTTGTTCCTAAAAATGCCCATTATTTTCAAATGACTAAATGATAGTAATGGGGACATCATTTGTAAACGACAGTTTTTTTTTAACAGTTCTTTCCTTACCACACTCAGCCTGGCTACATTTTTTAATTAGTATCTTTGCCAAGTGTATCCGTTTTTAGGAACACAAAAAACTTGGAACTTAAGTGATTGTTTTACATTTGAAATCAATTCGATCTTGCCACCTGTATCTTGCACTCAATGTATGTAGCAATATTTAGTATCATTCTACCACAAGTGTTTGTTAAGTGACATAGTTAATGGCTGACAAAAGTTTTGTAAAAAGTAGGATCTGTACAGAAAGAAAATTAGATAAATTATATTTATTTTTTAATGTTTTTTAGCTTAGATACTATATTGATACTCTCTTTTGCCAGAATTACTGGAAGTGCCTCTTGGTTTTATATATTTACATAATATTCAAAATTACTAAAATTGTGTCATAGATAATCCATATATGCTACAATGTGAACATGATGCGTTATATAAAAGTGATTCTGTGGTATCATTCTTTCTGTAGTCATTTGTGCAACCTGAGACTATGTTAGAAGTTCCACAGAACCTTGGTGGGTGTTGAATTCCATGGCAAAGTCTCCATCACTGTTGCTAACGAATTCTTAGTCATTGTCATCACCTAACTTTTTAACACTGAACTGTATTCTTTCCTAAATCAAACAGTGTCAACCCAAAATACCTAGCTTCAAGCATTCAGATTCAGAATAATATGCAATCAAATGCTTTTGATTATACTACAAATAATGCCACAGTTCTATGAATACCAGATACACAAAGTGGAACATTATAATTATACCTACACAAAATTTAGGATTTTCCCCAAAATTCTTTCTTAGTCTACTTGAGAGGCTTTCCATTGAATTTTGTAGTTGTACTGTTGAGATCCAAATTAAGACTTCATATTGGCTTTACCTGGCATGGTATTAGACATGCAGCACTTGCATTAGAGCTAGTCTAAAACAGACCAGAATTTCACATCGACACACGACTGGTAAAAGGAATCCACATGCCCACATTACATTGAAAAAACAAACAATGGCTAAAACAGAGTGCCTCCCATTAAACACAATAATTCTATAGAAATGTTCTCTAGTAAGACTTGCCTAAATAAGCCTCAGGACATAGAATTTAAAAGAACAATCATAACTTTTATCAAAGAAGTCAATGAGTTTAAACAGACACCCCAGAACCCCACCTTATTGAATTTCATTAATAAATGCCTGAATGATGTCCAAAAACTGAAAATATGCAGAAAAAGTCTGAATAAAATGACAATTAGAAATTTGAGATCTTGCTGGAGAGATGACTCAGAGGTTAAGAGCACTGCCTACTCTTTCAGAAATTTGAGATCTGAACTTAGTTAAAGAGATAGAAATATTAAAGAGAACTCAAAGTGAAATAAAGATAGATTTGAAAACCTCAACAATCCAGCTAGAAAACTCAATGGGAAGCCTTATAAGTAGACTAAGGTAGATTTTTTGGGGGGGCTCAAAAATAAAAATAGAGGAATTTGATTACACAAACAAATAATACATGAATAATTCTAAAACACAGGACAGGAACTGTATGATACCATGAAAAGTTCAAATCTTCAAATATAGGCATTGATGATAGAAAAGAATCCCAGGTCAATGACATAGACCAAGTCTTGAAGACCATAGAAGGTAACATCTTCAAACCAAGGAAAAACACATCCGTACAAATAGATACAAGAAGTACACAGGACACCAAATTGACAAGACCAGAAAAGAAACTCCATGGCCTATTGTAGCTAAAACAATACATATACAGAACAAAGAGTATTGAAAGCTGCAAGAGAAGAACACAAGTCAAAGACACGCCCATCAGAATAATTGACTACTCAATAGAAACGCTGAAAGTCAGAAAAGCCTGCGCAATATACTTCAAATTCTGAAAGACCATACCCGCCAACCTAGACTACTGTACCCAGCAAAACTATCTGCTATAGTTAAAGAGAAAGAAAAATTTTCTGTAACACAACCAGCCTTTAAAAATTCATATCTAAAAGACCACCCCTAAACAGAATATGGGAAGTAATATCTTAGATTGAACAGAGGATTAAGTAGTCAAGTGGCTAGAAAGGAATTAAATGAAGTTATAAGTAGTGAAATATAACGTATGGCTAATAGTACAAAAACAAAAAAGTCTAAAACCAATATAAATCATCTAACTATTTTAAATATTAGTGGTCTTGATTCTCCAAAAGATACAGCATGACTGATTGAATTAATAAACAAAATCATGTTTTTTGTTTTTGTTTTTGTTTTTTTTGGTTTTTCGAGACAGGGTTTCTCTGTGGCTTTGGAGGCTGTCCTGGAACTAGCTCTTGTAGACCAGGCTGGCCTCGAACTCACAGAGATCCGCCTGCCTCTGCCTCCCAAGTGCTGGGATTAAAGGCGTGTGCCACCAATGCCCGGCTTCAAAATCATGTTTTTATTGTCTACAAGAAACTCAACTTAAAGATAGGAACTACTTTAAAATAAGATGATGGGGAAAAATGCTCTAATCAAATGAGAAGAGAAAACAAGCAGTTATTGCTATCCCAATCTCAGACTAAATAGACTTCAAGCTAAAATTCGTCAGACGGGATAAGAAAGGCACTTCACTTTGATTGAGAGAGTAGTTAACCAAGACATCACAATCTTAAACATATATGCACCAAACTCTGGTGCTCCTAAATTCATAAAAAGTGCACTGCTGGGATTGAAGATGAAGATAAACACCAATCCAATAACGGTAGGTGATTTCAGTACCACACTTTGGCCAGTAGACAGGTCATCTGAACAAAAGATAAGCATAATAGGCAAACATTAGAATTAAATGACAGGGCTGGAGAGATGGCTCAAAGGTTAAGAGCACTGGATGCTCTTCCAAAGGTCCCGAGTTCAATTCCCAGCACCCACATGATGGCTCACAATCATCTATAATGAGGTCTGGTGCCCTCCTCTCGTGTTGAGACATACATGCAGGCAGCATACTGTATA